CTCTAGCAGGGACTCTGGCGTAGGGAGAGCCCCTGATTCTCCCTTTTCTTCCTTTTCACCCAGTAAAGCCCTGCTTTACTCACCCTTCTAACCCTTTGCGAGCCTAAATTTTCATGGCTGTAGGACGGACAAGAAGCCCGTCTTTAGCTGAGCTAAGGAAAAGTCCTGCAACACTAACATTAGCAAAGAAGAAGGGTCTAAAATCGGTGATCTAAACATCCACCATAAGAAGCTAGAAAATGAAGCAGAGTAAACTCAGAAGTAGAAGAATAAAAAGAATAGAGTGGAAACCCCAAGTGCAACTTATCCCAGAAATGCAAGATTGGCTTAACATTTAAAAAGCAATCAATGAAATTCAACATATTAAAATAAAGGAGAAAACTTTCATGATCATCACAATAGATGCAGATAAGGCATTTAATAAAATTCACTGATTCGTGCTTAATTAAAAACAAAAACCTCAGAAAACTAGAAGCAACAATAAAAGGAAACTTCCTTAATCCGACAGTTTTGATGAAAACCCCACAGCTAACATTATATAAAAGATGATAAAAAGGAAGGTTTTCCCGTACGACCATAAGGGTATCTGCTTCCACTTCTATTGAATAATGTACTGAGGTTCTAGCCATTACAGAAAAGATTATAAAGATCACGAAGAAAGAAGCAAAACTTGTAGATGAAATGATTATTTACATAGAAACTCCTAAAAGAATCAACAAAACAACAGCTGATGACTAAATTTAGCAAGTTTGAAGAATTCAAGTACTTTTGCAACAATCGTGTATTTTTATGGACTAGAAAAAAAATTGAAAAGGAAAATTTTGAAATTCCATTTACAGTAACATCAAAAGAACAAAAAATACTTTAGAATGAATTTACAAAAGATGTGCAAACTCTCCATATGAAAACTTGGTTAAGAAACACGAAATAAATAGAGGGATATACTTCTTTCATGAATTGTCAATATGTTCTTCCCAAAATAGATCCAACACAATCCCAGAAATTAAAATGCCACAAGGCTTTTTTTTTTTTTAATGAAATTAAGCAGATTCTATGATTTTTTAGTGAAGTGTAAATGTTTTATAACATCCAAAGAAATCTTGAAAAAGAAGAGCAAAGTTAGAGGACTCAATTATAGTCCTACTAAAGACCTACTATAAAGCTATATATAAGTAATGTAAATCCTGTGGCATTAGCATAAGGGTGGACAAATAATAAAATAAATTCCTGAAACACAGGCATATTTATCTTTTCAACAAATAACACTAGAATAGCTGGAAATCCACCTTTAACTCTTCCCTCATGCCATAGGGAAACAAATGGATCATAGACCCAAACATAAAAACTGAAACCACGAAACTTCTGGGGATGAGGAGCGTGGGGAGACAGAAAACCCATGCAACCTTGAGGGAGGTAATGATTTCTCAAAGGGCACCAAACATACAGAAAATATATTTAAGAAAATAAATAGGCAAGTCAGAGGTGGAAATATTTGCAAGACATGTATCTGAGAAAGGACTGGTATTCTGCATATATAAAGGATCGCTATAGCTCAGTAACAGATAAACTAATTTTTTAAGTGGGCAAAATATTTCAATAGAAAATTTACAAAGGAAGGTATACAAGTGGCCAGCAAGCAAACTAGACATCAGAGAAATGCAAATTAAAACCACAGTGAGATATTGCTACATTCACCAGGAGTTTTAAAATTAAAATGACTGATACTGCCAAATGTTGACAAAGAAATGGAGCATCTGGAACTATTGTACACTGTCAGTACAGCTACTTTAGGAAAATGTCAGGCAGTTTCTCATAAAATGAAATGTATGCAAGAGATATGAAAACATGTCTACATAGTTGTACAAGAATGTTCCTAACAGTTTTACTTATGATAACCAAAATTTTCTAACAGTCCTGCTTTCTATCAATAGGAGGAGAATGAATAAACTATGGCATATCCAAACAATGAAAAAGTAGCAACAAAGAGGAACGAATTACTAAGACATATTAACATGAGTAAATCTCAAAAACATAATGTTTTCCACAAAAAAAAATACATACCTGTGTGATTCCATTTATGTGGAGATTTAGAAGAAAAAAAAAACTAAGTTATATAAAAGCGAGAGTGACTGATGGTAGAAGAATTCTGAACAGTGGTTTCCTCTGGAGGGATGTGGATGGGGAGTTACTGGGAAGGGACTTAGGGGAACTCTGACCTGTTGGTGATGTTTGGTTGATAGGTTGGATAGGTGATTTGCAGCGGTGTACGCATTCGTCAGAACTCACCTCATGATACACTTAAGATTTGTGCATTTCATTGTATGTAAATTTTATCCAAAAAGAAGAAAAAAATCTGTAAGTAAATAGTGAAGCCTACGTAGTGATATGCAGGCAGAAGCACTGGAGATGAGGGCGGAAGAATACCGAGCTCTGCAACTTACTTTGAAACAAGATGAGTTGATGGATGGACAGAGGGACAGGTAGATACCTAATAAATCAAGTACAGTCGCATGTTAATTGTAGAATCTAGGTGGTGGGTATATGAGTGCTCACTGTAAAGTTCTTTCAACTTTTTAGAATGTTTGAAGTTTTTTCATAATAAAATGGATTTAAAAAGTAATTGCAGTGCTCACCCTGGGTGTATATACATGCACCTATTCTCGAGATGCGCCTAAAGTTCTTGCCCCTCAGAAGGCTCGATGAAAGAGGGGCTTCGGGGAGTGAGTAACAGAGCCGAGAGGACTACTAACGGCACCAGGGTTTCTGATGAAAATGGACTCGCTGGAGCTGTGTTTCTTTATTCGAAATCATGCGGTTTCACTCAACAGGGCTTTGAGCCCTTCTGTCTCTGCTCCTGGTGAGTAAGGGTGGTGTGGGGGGCTCTGAGCCTAGGACTGCTCTCTCGGAAGGTGGGAAGATGCCCCCGTATCCATTCCTCTGTGGGAGCAGATTCGCTCCCACACGCCGGGGCGGGTGATTCCAGAGGGCCGCGCGGAGCTGCGTGCGCAGGCGGGGGCAAGATGTGTCTGGAGGGGGCAGAGCGCCCTCTCCCGGTCCCCGAGGGCCCACGCGGACCGGCTGAGCGTCCCACCAGCCGATTCTGCATCCACTCCCCTGATCTGCGCGCCCTGGTAGGAGCACCACAGCCCCGAGGTTGGCCCTCCGGGCGCTGAGCGCTGGGCATCTGCCGGCGGAGACCAGCGCTGGAGGCGGGCCCGCATGCAAGGAGGCGGGCGACAGGGTGGAGTCGCCGCAGCTGGCAGCCACGCAGCTCCACCTGTTGCAGCGTCGGAGCGCACCCGCCTAAGGCAGAGCGCGGCGCGGACCTGTGTTCCCCGCGCCGGCCGGCAGGGCAGGGCCGCGGCTGCAAGGAGGGCCGGGAACAGTCCCGACAGAGCGGCGCGGAGAGGGCGCTCCCCGGAAGGTGAGATCTGACCGCGGTAGCGGCGCCAGCGTCCCCTACAAGGCGGGGTTTCGGGGAGGGGGGCCGGAGGTTTGCTGGAAAGCCTTGCTGCTGGTCTGCATGAGGTGGGGGATGCCTTCTTTGCGGAGCCCGCATCCGGGCAAAACTCTGGAACGCACTAGGCAGCCAAGCCCGGGTGGAGGAGATGGAACTCTCCAAGGTCAAGGTCTCCTGGCCTCTGGGGCCCTTCCAGTCCCGAGTCTTTGGCCTCCTCTCCTGAAGCGGGGCTGGCCCGCGGTGCGCGCTTGGTCCGGGCGGAGCCTACTAGTAGCTGAAGAGGACTCCCCTGCGCAGGACCCAGAGACCGAGGGCGCTCTGGCATGGGCAAGGCGAGGGAGGCTGCCAGGGAGAGATGCCCCTAACTTCCTTCTCTCCCTGTTCCAACCTCCCTTTCTGGTCTCCCCTCTCCAGCCCGTCTGCCCAATGGATGCGCAGCGTTGGGGCCCAGCGGGAGGTCGGAGCCCTCGGACGCAGCTCGGCACAGCCCCTCTCTCCGTGCGCCTGCCCTGGACCTGCTCCACCCCTAAGCCCCGGCAGCAGATTCGGTGACTCGGGAAGCCGCAGGCTCAGCGCGACACCACAACCACAACTAGGACGCACCACCGTGGATCTACCTGGGGAGGCACCTACAAGGCCAGCCGACTGACACCTGCGTCTTAGCCGTCGGCGGCCTGAGAAACTACAGTCAGAGGAACCAATACCCCGGGGCTCCGCTTACCTGCCGACTTCCGGACCCCCTGGACCTTCTCTTTGGGGAAACTCAAGTTCGCTCGAGCTTGCCCGGAAGACGCGCCACGCCCCCTCCCCTATCTGAGCCGGACTGGAGGCCCGGGTGGAAACGGCGCCCGCATCCCAGCGCCAAGCAGGCGTGGACTCTGCGCCCGCTCCCCGGGACCTTCAGCGTTAAGGAGAACTCCGAGGAGAGCGTGGGGAGTGGCGGGGAACGGCGGCGACAAAGCGGATTTGAAACTAGGAGTCAGGGCGGACGTGGGGAGCTGGAGCCTCAGAAGCGACCTACGCGGCGGCCGGGGGAGCCTCGCGGCCTGCGGGAGCGCCTGGCGGTCATGGGCGAGCCGGCGGTGGGGCTCCCAGGAGCCGGCTGAGCGCCGGGCCCTTATTTCCCGGGGACGTGAGGCTGCGTGCTGCCCCTGGGGGCCCGACCATGGCCAGCCGGGGTTTCAGCTGGGGCTCAGGCCACCTGAACGAGGACAACGCTCGTTTTCTGCTGCTGGCCGCGCTCATCGTGCTCTACCTGCTGGGCGGCGCCGCAGTCTTCTCCGCGCTGGAGCTGGCGCACGAGCGCCAGGCCAAGCAGCGCTGGGAAGAGCGCCTGGCCAACTTCAGCCGCGGCCACAACCTGAGCCGCGACGAGCTGCGCGGCTTCCTCCGCCACTACGAAGAGGCCACTCGGGCCGGCATCCGCGTGGACAACGCCCGCCCGCGCTGGGACCTCGCCGGCGCCTTCTACTTCGTGGGCACCGTAGTGTCCACCATAGGTAAGTGTCCTGGCCGGACTCGCTGACAGCCCCCGGGCGGCCTCCACTTCCTCTGGGGGCAGGACCGACCCTCTGAGCCTTTCATCCATCTGGGCGCCCAGCCTGACTTCACCGACGTGCCCCGTCGCCTGATCAACAGGTGGTATTGCCTCCCCGCTGCTCAAATGTAGTCCACGCTCAGGCAGCCTCAGCTTCACCCGGCAGCTTGTTAAAAATACAGTCTCAGTTCCCTCTCCAGACCTGCTGAGTCAGAATCTGCATGTTAACAAAGCCCCCAAAGGATTGGAATGACCCTTAAATTGCAGACGCTCTGCTCTGGGAGATTTTCAGTCTAATGAAGGAGACGGGCTTGAGTTCATGGGGAGGAAAGCTTTTGCAGATGATAGGGAAAGGAAACTGAACATTACTGAGTCAGTCGGAGGGGAAGGGCAGATTTGAAAAGATTCTGCCCTTGACTTCACACTTAGTGAGAAAAAATCAGAACAGATTGGAAGTGAGGAAGCAAAAGTGTCAATGAGAGTTCAAAGGATGGAAAATTTCCCATCAGGAACAACCAGGGAAGTGACCTTTGGGCTGAAGTAATTCGTGTTAGGCATAACTTGGGTTTGAGAACTGGAAGCGCGTTGACCTCTGGAGTAGGAGAGAATCGTACTTGGGGGCCCCCTGAGCTGTCTGGAGTGGTGGAAGGAAGACTAGGAGGGTCTGCTGGTTAATGGGATGGAGGGGGAGGACCTTCACTGAGAGACTCAGCAGCTGGAACTTATCTAGAGGCACCTGGGAGCCATTGAGAATTTTTTAGCAAAGATGTAGCACAGCTACAATCAGTTGTGTTTATTTCACAGCAGAAGGAAAATGATTGGGGGCAGGAGTAGGTCTTTGCACCACATCCCTAAAAATTGTTCATCCCTGAAGAATAATCAAGTGATTCAGGGGGGCTGGGGAAGATGCTGTAGAAATAAATTTTGAAGGGAGGGAAAAAGAGAGCTGGAGCAGGGGAGGGAGCTTGGAAAAGCCACACAGAGGAAGTGGCATCCAAACTGCAAAAAAGGCTCGCAGTTGCAAACAGCCCAGGGTGGTGCACGTGCCGAGCGGTCTGTAGTTACAGCCCCTGTGCGCTCTAGAAGAGCTCCCTGGTGGTGGGGTTGGGGTGACAAGTTGAGGCTCCCACACATGGCTGTGCTACATAGGCATTCTGCCGGGAGAAGCAGCACAAAGGAAGAGATTGATATCAAGAAACACTTCCCATGGCTAGTCCAGGAATCAAGGGCTTTGGATGGTGCATAGGAGGTGAGGCAGAGGACCAGCATGATTAGGGACACAAAGGCTGTATCTGAAGTGCCTGGCTCCCAGCCCCCATCCCATCCCAGATTGCACTGCCCATCAGCAGGCCATGATGGCACCACTATAACCGGGTATCAGGCAGGAAATCTCTCACAGCAGACCAGAATGGGCCCAAGATTGGTGGAGGAGGAATAAAACCCCACATTCTCCCCAAAGCCCACATTCTCTGCTGGACTCTTAGCCATGTTCCACAAGCCCCTCATCACATCACCTCCCACGTCTCAGAAGACAGTTCCAGAATCTCCGCATAGGCAAGACTTGGGGTGAACAAACTAGGAGGTGTCACTTTGGAAGTGACCTTGAATCTATTGTTTTTGCATAGCAAGTACAGGACTGTTTTAGATTGAATGGTTACTTGGGATGGTTTTGATGGGAACTTTGAGGACTGAGTCATCCTTGCCACCATCAAAAACCATCTCTTGGTGCTCCCAGTGGGCACAGAGGCAGGAAGGAGCGTGTAGTGCCCGCATCATGTAGCAGGAACTGGGAATGGCATGGGTAGTTGGCCACGTAGGAACATGGACTTTGGGGATGTGAATATGACACGTGGCATAGTGGAGTGGAAAGAAACCTGGACAACTAGTCTGGAGTGGGAGCTTTTGGTCCTGCCGCTATATCCTGGGCAAGCCTCTTAACTATTCTGAGCCCCATTCATTTCTCATCTGAGCTATCTACAGAGTGCCCGCCTTGGTATCTGGCATATGAGCCATTTGGTAAATATTGGTCCTGCCCCTCTGTTCTCTCTCTCTGCCTAAGCCTGCCCTTGTTAGAGTGTTCTTGTGAGGGGCAAGGAGCTCACGTAAGTGTGTGCCTGTTAAAAGGTAAAAAACATTATGTACATGTGGGCTGATTTTCATTTCTCATTTATAATATTTCCTTTTGAATTGTTTGATTAATTGTTGTAATAATGGCACTGGCTACCCTTATCAGGCCCATATTAGGCACATACTGTGTGATTATTATGTGAATGTGCAATGCCACTCATTGCTGTTACATTTACACTTCATTTCAGTCAGCACAACCCCATGAGGTAGGCATAATAATCCCCCGTTACAGATGAAAAAACCAAAGCTTCAGGTTTTTTGTAAAATAAAATACAAAGAAGAAAAAAATCAAGTTATATGCAGTAATATCATCCAAATTAACCATTGGTAATGTTTTGGTCCATTTTCTTCTAGTCTTCTTTTCCCTCTGCATATACATGTATATATATGTGTGTGTTTTTTAAAATTAGAATTATAACTGGGTACAGTGGCTCATACCTGTAATCCCAGCACTTTTGGAGGACCAGGTAGCAGATCACCTGAGGTGGAGAGTTCAAGACTAGCCTGACCAACATGGAGAAACCCTGTCTCTACTAAAAATACAAAATTAGCCAGGCGTGGTGGCTCATGCCTGTAATCCCAGCTACTCAGGAGGCTGAGGCAGGAGAATCGCTTGAACTCAGGAGGCGGAGGTTGCAGTGAGCTGAGATCATACCACTGCACTCCAGCCTGGGCAACAGAGCAAGACTTGGTCTCAAAAAAAAAAAAATTAGAATTATATTCCATAAACCACTTATATCTTGCATTTGTATTGTAACCTTACATGATGGTATTTTTCTTCTAAAAATTAATTCCACCATGCTTTATTCTGCAAAGACTTTTAGGTAACAGACAAAGTATACAGTAAAATAATTATAAAATATAAATAAAACTTCAGAACCAGGGAAAACAAGAACAGAAATATGGAAAGCAAGTGGAGCTATGAAGTTGCTAGAGAGGAACTTTGTCTTAGTTTGGGTTCCCTTAGAAGTGGACCTTGAACCAAGAATTTGAATGCAAGCAATTTATTGGGAGGAGCATACTGGTAGGTGCAAGAGGACTTGAATCAGGGAAGGAAAATAAGTTAATCAAGGGTATGCTATTAAGGCAGACGCCATAGTGGGCAACTGGTACCTAATCCCAAGGGGAAGCTTGGAAGCAATGAATGCAAAGCTCCTGACCCAGATATCCCATGCAGGAAAGCTGGGATATTTACACACCCACACCTGTCAGGAATTGGTTAAAAAGCTGTCTGGGGAGGATGAGGAAGGCGCACAGGGATGTAATTCCCAGGTACTTCTGGCCTTATTTTCTTCCGTGGGCAGCCCAAGGGTAGCCCTCAGGGAAAGATATAGGCTCTGCTGTTGAAAATCAGGCCAGCGTGCCAGGAAATGCTAAAACGATCCCAAGGAATGATGGGGAATCCCATAGAAGGGAGAGAACCAGCAATGACTGTTCAAGCTTCAGATCTGGTTTCAGGCTTCATGGCAGAGCCATGACCTGTAATAGAATTCTTAGTATCAGAAAGGAGGAAACATAAACCTGTCCCAGTACCTAATTCTCCTCTTTTTTTGAGACAGTCTTGCTCTGTCACCCAGCTGGAGTGCGGTGGCACGATCTTGGCTCACTGCAACCCCTGCCTCCTGGGTTCAAGTGATTCTTCTGCCTCAGCTTCCCAAATAGCTGGGATTACAGGTGTGCGCCACCATGCCCAGTTAATTTTTGTTTTTTGTTTTCTGTTTTAGTAGAGACAGAGTTTTGGCATGTTGGCCAGGCTGGTCTCAAACTCTTGACCTCAAGTGATCCTCCTGCCTCAGCCTTCCAAAGTGCTGGGATTACAGGTGTGAGCCACTGTTTTTTGTTTGTTTGTTTGTTTGTTTTGTTTTGTTTTTTTTTTTAGGAAGTCTCACTCTGTTGGCCAGACTGGAGTGCAGTGGCACGAACTTAGCTCACTGCAACATCCATGCTTCCCGGTTGAAGCAATCCTCCTGCCTCAGCCTCACAAGGTACAAGCCACCACACCCAGCTAATTTTTGTATTTTTAGTAGAGAAATGACTTCACTGTGTTGGCCAGGCTGGGCTTGAAATCCTGGCCTCAAGTGATCCGCCTGCCTCAGCCTCACAAAGTACTGGGATTACAGGCATGAGCCACCATGCCTGGCCCCAGTACCTAATTCTCAAAAGTATTTTCTCCTTGAGATTATATGTAGGAGACATTGTAAAGGACAACAGATGATATTCACAAACAATATTTTTCTGGAAAATGCAATTGATGATTTCATGTAGCTGTTATCTAATTGAGACCTTTGACTTAGAAGTCAAAGCTTAGAGTGGAAACCAGTTTGCCAGTTTCTCTAAAGGTTAAACATAGAACTACTTTATGACCCAGCAATTCCATTTCTAGGTATATATCCAAAAAAATCAAAAGTAGGAATTCAAACAGATATTTGTACACCAGTGTTGATAACAGCATTATTTGCAATATCCAAACAACCCATGAGTCCATCAATGGATGAATGAATAAACCAAATGTGGGCTACATATAATGGAATATGATTCAGCCAAAAAAGGAATGAAATTTTGATATATGCTGTAAATAGATGGACCTTGAATATAATTATGCTTAGTAAAATAAGCCAGACACAGAAGGACAACTATCATAAGATTCCACTTACATGAGGTACCTAGAATAGGCAGATTCATAGAAACAAATTACAATAGAGGTTACCAGGGGCTGAGGGAAGGCCATAAACGGGAGTTATTGTTTAATGGGTACTTTCAGTTTGGGATGCTGAAAACATTTTAGGTATAGATAGTGGTGATTGTTACATGACATTGCAAATATATTTCATGCTATTGAATTGTATGCTTTTAAATGGTTAAAATGATAAATATGTTAAGTACGTTTGACTGCAGTAAAGAAAACCTCAGGGCAGAGTATTAAAACACAATTCAGAAATGTTGATTCTGAAAAAGGCTGGTGATCAGACATGAAACAGGAATAAATTTAAAGTACTCTGAGATGTAGACTGGCAGTATGTCTTGTAAATGATCTTCTGTGAATATCTTTTCTCTGAAACCAGCTTTTGTTAGGAGCTTGTCCCCGTGTTTGCCTGTATATCTATAGCTGGCTTCTGTCCCCAAAGCATTCGAGGTAATCTGCATTTGACGGAGTCAGGGGAGGCTTAGGTTTTGCTGCAGTAATAAGCTGCCCCCAAAATCTCAGTAAAATGCAATAAATGTGTACTTCTTACAATGAGTTCACTGTGGGCGTGGGTGATGCTGGAGGGCAGTTGCCTCTGTGTTGTCCCAGCGCTCCAGGCCTCTTCTGTCTCTTGGCTCCTTTTCCTCAGCACGTGCTTCCAGGATTGCTCTGGAAGGAGAAGAAAGGGCTGAAGAGTTGAGCACCAGTGATTAAATGACAGCCATCACCTGGAAGTAGCACAGGTCCCCTCCACTCTCATGTCATTGGCCAAATCAAGTCACAGAACCACCACGCCTACTTTAAGGGGTCAGGGAAACGTTACCTCATCCCATTTGTGGCAAGCTGCAGAATAAATGTTTCTTCCAGTCTAAAAAAAAAAAAAAAAAAAAAATCATGTGTCGGCCCAGGTGCGGTGGCTCATGCCTGTAATCCCACCACTTTGGAAGGCAGAAGTGGGTTGATTGCTTGAGGTCAGGAGTTCGAGACCAGCCCGGCCAACATGACAAAACCTCGTCTCTACAAAGAAATAGAAAAAATTAGCCAGTTGTGGTGGTATAGGCCTATAGTCCCAGCTACTTGGGGGGCTGAGGTGGGAGGACCTGTTGAGCCCAGAGGTTGAGGTTGAGGCTGCAGTGAGCCACGATTGTGCCACTGCACTCCAGCCTGGGCAACAGGACAAGACCCTGTCTCAGACAAAAAAAAAAAAAAAAAAAAGAAAGAAAAGAAATGCAGAGTCTCAGGTCAACCCCAGACCAACAGAATCCAAGTCTACACTTTAACAAAACACCCAGGTCAGCCCTGAGCACGTTAAAGTCTGAGAAATCCAGAGTCTAGAGGGCAAACCGGTGGCCAGGCAGGTATGGCACAGAAGTGAGCTCACCTGTTGTCTTATGACCTCCTCACCAGCTGGAAGTCAAGTGCGCTGAGGGAAGATTCATTGCATACCATCCAGATGCAGGGATGTGTCGGGCTCAGGCTGAGAAGGGGATCCGGCTCGTGAGGACCTGAGATGCTCAGACAGAGAGGCTCAGCCTGCCTCCTATGTGACTAGATTCTCAACAACAGTTTTTATTCATTTTTAGTAAACAGAAATAAGTATGCAGGTGCCCTGTTCTGGCCCTGGGTGTGGCCCATGTTTGGCTCTGCATGGCTGCACTTGGCAAGGCCGGCATGGGATTCTCCCAGTCTCTCATATCTCAAAGGAGTTCTGGAAACTCTTATCCCTAAACTCCTCCCCAAGTTTCTCCCAACCATCAGCCCTCTGTCTTCCTGTCCCTCCCGGTCCCTTCTCCCCACACCTCTCTCTGCTCCTTATTATCAGAATTGACTTCACTTCTGCAGCATCATTTAGTTTTCTCTCAGCCTGTTTCCTGGATTCCCCATAGGAAAGGACAGTCCTGGTAGTTGACCCAGCAAAGCAACAATCTTTTCCCCTCAGAAGCAAGGAGAGAAGAGTGGGGGAAGATGATGATCACGCATACATTAATGACTATACACCTGGGAAACATCTCAGCCATTAGAGGAAGACATTTCCGTGTTCGGACCCAGAAGCACGCGGTCCTGCCAAGGATGGTGGAGAAAATCGCCTCATCAGAAGGCATCTCTGTCACAACATGGCCCTCCCTTCATCCCCCAGCCTTCTGCCTCTTTCGGTTCAGCTGATGTGAATTGTCAGACATTTTACCAGGACCTTCAGCACACCTACTATGTCTTTCCTTGGCCAGAGAGTCATCTTTGTAAGCCTAATTAGGTACTCAGGGTTTATTTTTCCCATTCTCTAATCAGCTCTCCTGTGTCTCTCAACTGATCCCCTCTCCTTGAAAGGGAAACACTGTAACCCGTGACCTCAGGGGTCAGACTGTGAATGTAAATGAGTGTAACTTGGGGTGTAGGACATTAGGGAGCAGCAGGACCTCGTGCCCTGGAGAGAGCAGCCCCAACATAGGCATTCAGATTCTAACGTTGAAACAGCATTGAGCTGGCCAGACGGGTCTGATGGGTTGAGTCCCCCCGTTGAAGCTTTGTTGATGGTGAGCTCTGGGCTTCTTTGTCTTTGGGAGGGAGAAGGACAGGGAGCACTTCGCTCTTCTTGAGCAGTAGCAGAGCTTGCTTTTTATAGTTCACTTAAAGGATGCTTGTTCACCGAGGGTGAACCTTGCATGCTCTTATTTCTAAAAGGAGCTGCGGGAAGTTACATTCTCTTAAACTCTTCCGATTTCTGCGACTACACATAGGTATCGAAATCTATAAGTATGTACTAAAAGCTTTTTCACATTATTTCCTATATACTTTCTCAAGAATTCCACGTTTATATGAATGTGGAATGGTTTAACTATCCTCAAATAGTCGGACTTGGGGGTTATATGTGATTTTTTTTTACTGTTGATTATTATTATTTTTAAAATTTATTTTATTTTAGCTTTTGGGGTACATGTGAAGAACATGCAAGATTGTTGCATAGGCACACACCTGGCAGTGTCATCTGCTGCCTTCCTCCCCATCACCCACATCTAGCACTTCTCCCCATGCTATCTCTCCCCAACTCCCCTCCCCCGACTGTCCCTCCCCTATTTCCCCCCAACGGACCCCAGTGTGTAGTGCTCCCCTCCCTGTGTCCATGTGTTCTCATTGTTCAACACCCACCTATGAGTGCAAACATGCAGTGTTTGATTTTCTGCTCTTGTGTCAGTTTGCTGAGAATGATGGTTTCCAGGTTCATCCATGTCCCTACAAAGGACACAAACTCATCGTTTTTGATGGCTGCATAATATTCTATGGTGTATATGTGCCACATTTTCCCTGTCCAGTCTATCATCAATGGGCATTTGGGTTGGTTCCAGGTCTTTGCTATTGTAAACAGTGCTGCAATGAACATTTGTGTGCATGTGTCCTTATAGTAGAACGATTTATAATCCTTTGGATATATACCCAGTAACAGGATTGCTGGGTCAAATGGAATTTCTATTTCTAGGTCCTTGAGGAATCGCCACACTGTCTTCCACAATGGTTGAACTAATTTACACTCCCACCAACAGTGTAAAAGTGTTCCTATTTCTCCACATCCTCTCCAGCATCTGTTGTCTCCAGATTTTTTAATGATCGCCATTCTAACTGGTGTGAGATGGTATCTCATTGTAGTTTTGATTTGCATTTTTCTGATGACCAGTGATGATGGGCATTTTTTCATATGTTTGTTGGCCTCATGTATGTCTTCTTCTGTAAAGTATCTGTTCATATCCTCTGCCCACTTTTGAATGGGCTTATTTGTTTTTTTCTTGTAAATCTGTTTAGTTCTTTGTAAATTCTGGATATCAGCCTTTTGTCAGACGGGTAGACTGCAAAAATTTTTTCCCGTTCTGTTGGTTGCCAATTCACTCCAATGACTGTCTCTTTTGCCATGCAGAAGCTGTGGAGTTTGATTATATCCCATTTGCCTATTTTGGCTTTTGTTGCCAACGCTTTTGGTGTTTTGGTCATGAAGTCTTTGCCTATGCCTATGTCCTGAATAGTTTTGCCTAGATTTTCTTCTAGGGTTTTTATGGTGTTAGGTCATATGTTTAAGTCTTTAATCCACCTGGAGTTAATTTTAGTGTAAGGTTCAGGAAGGGGTCCAGTTTCTGCTTTCTGCACATGGCTAGCCAGTTTTCCCAACACCATTTATTAAACATGGAATCCTCTCCCCATTGCTTGTTTTTGTCAGGTTTGTCAAAGATCAGATGGTTGTAGATATGTTGTGTTGCCTCCGAGGCCTCTGTTCTGTTCCATTGGTCTATATCTCTGTTTTGGTACCAGTACCATACTGTTTTGATTACTGTAGCCTTGTAGTATAGTTTGAAGTCCGGTAGTGTGATGCCTCCTGCTTTGTTCTTTTTGCTTAGAATTGACTTGGCTATGCGGGATTTTACTGTTTATAATAAAAGCATGAAATTTTGGATTTCACCATGGTTAAACATAATGCACATCTCTGTGTACATTTAGTTCTAACAACAACCCCATAAGGGCAGTACTATTAATATTCTTGTGTTGCAGACAAGGATCCCAAGGCACCGAGAGCTTCTGTGCTCTGTGTGAAGCTACTAGCTGGAAGAGTGTGGCAACTCCCTCAGACTTTACACTTTGAACTACCACTTCTTTGCCTTTTCTTCTGTTGGGGTCCTTGTTGTGGGAAGAATTGCCAGTTAAAGAGATCATGGCCACCCCTTTTTTTTGAGATGGAGTCTTGCTCTGTAGCCCATTCTGGAGTGCAGTGGCGCGATCTCAGCTCCCTGCAACTTCTGCCTCCTGGGTCCTGGTTTAAGCAATTCTCCTACCTCAGCCTCCCAAGTAGCTGGGATTACAGGCACAAGCCACCATGCCCAGCTAATTTTTGTATTTTTTAGTAGAGACATGGGTTCACCATGTTGGCCAGTCTGGTCTTGAACTCCTGACCTCGTGATCCACTCTCCTTGGCCTCCTAAAGTGCTGGAATTACAGGTGTGAGCCACCACTCCCAGCCAATCATGACCCCTTTTACAGTGTGGTGACCTAAGATAGTCTAAGAAGACAGAAACGATCTGGTTAGCAGAATTGCGGAGGAGGTTGATGATGTCTGTGCCACCATGGGTGCAAGGTTTGGGTAGTGTGCTGCCTACCACCCAGGAGTCCTCCCAAAGCTGCAACCTCTCTACTATCACCATGATGAGGGGGTGCCTGCCCCCAGGACTTTCACCTCTAATTCAGTCATATTTGATCCTGGAAGTCACCTCCTAACTTTGCCTGTTAGCACTTGGCATGTTGGCACCAAGGTTCTCTGTGTCTTAGGTCTTCCCTCCTTTTAAGCAGCTGATGAAGTTCACAAGGAATTGGCCATGCAGATCAACCAAGGCTGTGGTTTTCAAACTGCGCCCCAAGGAGCCCATGGGGTTTGTGGTATTTTAAGGGCTGCCTCAAGGGTCAAGAGGACCCCTCAAGTTTGTTTTTGTTTTTGTTTATTTTTTTTTGAGATGAAGTCTCGCTCTTTCACCCAGGCTGGAATTTGGTGGCACAATCTTGGCTCCCTGCAACCTTTGCCCGCCGGGTTCAAGTTATTCTTCTGCCTCAGCCTCCCGAGTAGCTGGGACTGCAGGTGCATGCCACCACGCCTGGCTAGTTTTTGTATTTTTAGTAGAGACAGGGTTTCACTATATTGGCCAGGCTGGTCTTGAACTCCTGACCTCAGGTGATCCACCTACCTCGGCCCCCCAAAGTG